CCATCCTCTCCTGCTTTCCCAGGCTGCAAGCAGGGAGCTGGATGGGAAGTGGAGCTGCCAGGATTAGAACTGGCACCCATATGGGATCCCGGCATGTTCAAGATGAGGACTTTAGCCACTAGGCCACGCCGCCAGGCCCTCTTCTTTTTTTTTTTTTATTATGAAAAAACATGAAATGCTTCACATTTTTATGCCATCCTTGCACAGGGCTGTGCTGGTCTTAGCTGCGTTGGTCCACTGTTAGTGTGTGCTGCCGCAGCAAGCACAGAAGTAAATTCTGTGAAGGCAGAAAGGCTTCTTTTTTTGGTTCTTTGCTGTAGGCCTAATATCCAAGACAGTGCCCGGCACGCAGTAGGCCCTTTGTACTTAAATCAATGCTAACTATCCTGATACCTGGTCATGTCTTATGCCATCCCACGCGTTGACTCTGCCTGGGAAGGTCTGTCAGGGGCGCCCTGTGGTTGCTTCCCGCCTGGCAGTCTCCCCAGCCTAGAGCTGCAGAATGGAGGCCAGCGAGGCCCAGCTGCCTGGGGCTTGTGGCACAGCACACTGCAGATGAGAGAGCCGTGGCAGGGGAAGCAGCGCCAGAGAGCTGCAAAGGGCACCTTGAGCCTTTGGCTGACTCAGAATGTGCCTCTTAGGGCTAGACTCATGGAGTGGCTGGGGAAAGGCAGTGCCTTTCCCTGAGACACAGAATTCTGCCAGCTGCTGGTTCATGTCCCAAATCACTGCAACAGCTGAAAGTGTACCGCAGGCAGTAGCACCAGCTCTGTCCTTCCTGGTCTCCCACAGGGGAGTCGCGGGCCGATCGTCAGCTACCTCCTCATGGGTGTTGGGAGCTGGTTCAGGAGCATAGCAGTTGGGACTCAACCGGAACAGCAGTATGGAATATTACTGCGACTGGTGGCTTAACGTGCTGTGCCACTCCACCAGCCTCACAAATCTCTCTCTTTTTACTCTGTGTGCTCTCTCTCTGTTGTTCAAATGCCTTTATTAAGTGACATCTCCAGGTTGTGTTTCCCACCTCTTTCTCCCTTTCTCTACCAAGTGCAGGTGTTTATAACTGTTGGCCCTTATTTGCTCAGCGTACATCATTAGCCCAGTAGCTTATCCTCAGTGGTTATTTCTTCTCTGTTCACTCCACTGTACCGGCTGGGAGTGAGTGGATGACTTCACTTCATAGGGCAGGCTGCTGAGTGCGGAATAGAGCAACACGTTCTAGCCTCAGTTAGTTGTCTGAGCTCTCGGTTTGGCTGCAGGCTCGCCCTTGCCCATATGCCTGATGAGGTGGGTGCAGTGCAGCAGCACGCCTGCTGGGTGGCGCTGTTTGGTTGTGTTTACAAGCTGGCAGGGTGCCTTTCACTCACTAGCTAGTCTCTAGTAGGTGTCAGAAACTCTTCATAGAAATAAACTAGTAGCAAAGCAGGCTGTGGGTGCTCCTTCTGAAAACCTGCAGTGACTTTGCAAACGGTTTGCCAGGTCATTGGCACGAGGGGTTTACGATGAGCTGGCTGGCCGTGCTACAGAGCCTTGCCGCTCCTTGCTCTTTGTGGGCACTGCCAGCTCCAGATTGTCTATACCTCTGAACTTCTAAGTAAAATGCTTTTATTCTGATCCATTTATTTAGTCTTTTATTAAGATAGAGGGCTCATTTTTTTGCGTTTTATGCTGTGTGCTTCCTCTCCCACTTAGTCCTCCCGGTGTTAGGTCACTTGCTGCTGTTGATATTGTTTGCTTTTGTCCATAGTCACAGGTAGTGTGCTGCTTCCTTCATGTCTGTGTGCGCATGTGCGGACACTTTTCTCCAGATTTATTTATGTATATACTTGAAAGGCAGTTACACAGGAAGTATGTGCTCTTCCAACCAGGGGCTCCCACTCACCAGATGGCTGCAACAGCTAGGGCTTGGCCATCTCCCGCTGTCTTCCCAGGTCCGATTAGCAGGGAGCTGGATTAGAAGGGGAGCAACTGGGACTAGAACCCATGCTCGTGTGGGATCTTAGCATTACAGGCAGTGGCCTAACTGGCGCCACCACAATGCCTGCCCTTTGCACTTTGTTCTTGTTGTTAACAATTGCATTTTTTTTGTAGTTTTTGTTATGCCTGTTGCTAATTCTTCCCATATTTTCTTGTAGCTTTAGAGCAGTTTTCCATAATGTATGTGAATGTTGTCCATTGGAAATGTAGTTTTATTTTTTCTAGTAGCCACTGCAAAATAAATAAATAAATAAATAAATAAATAAATAACCAAAGTAAGAAGGCCATGCTGTCACCAGGTGGTGGATCTGAGACCGCCTTCCGTGGACTCAGACTGTGTCTGTGGCCGCATCATTTGCATAACCCCATCTGCTCCAAGTGGTACCCAGGAAATAACATGTTAACGTATCTGAAATGCTTCTGCTTCTTTTGTACCAAGTTTTCCCGAATGGATGTATGTTTTACACTTACAGGATGCCTCTTTTCAGACTGGCCAGGTGCTGCAATGGGCCAGTCTCCAACAGCCACCCCACTAGCACCTTATGGGCCTGGGTGGTGCCCTGCCTTCTGCTACACGTTGTCAACTTGTGACTTTCTTGCTGGTGCTTTTTGAGTAGACACTGCTTCCTGGATGTCAGGTCTCCATCCCCCGCCCCTCGCCCCCCGGCAGCTTAGCAGGGTCACAGCTGGCGTGTCAGAAGGAGGCGGGGTGCTGGCATGCTCTCCCGAGTCATCCTGGCCGGAAGCTCTCAGTGTCTAAGTGTTCGTGGAAATTTCCTTTGCCTTAACTCTTCCCTTGGATCATTTTTAACCTGCGCGTCCTCTCTTGGTCCTCAGTTTCCTTCTCCACTCTCGTGGGTTGCTGAGGACAGGAGCACAGTGTCGGAGAGGTTGCTCTTGTCCTTCATACCTGGTGACTGTTGAGCTGAGTATGGAATTCTAGCAGGGAGTCATTTTTCTGCAAAATCTGTAAGGCTTGCCCATGACTGGCCAACTCTCTGGGTTTTTCCTACAAAGTTTGAAGATGTAATCACCTCATCCCTTGAAAGTGAATAGATTTTTTTCTTCCTGGAAACTTACAGTACATTCCATGGGGTTCTGGAATTGCACATTAATGTGCCTTAGAGCAGGTCTGCTTCTGTCATTATGGGAAGCACTTGATGGTCTGAGAAATCTTGAGTTATTTTTTTGATGATTTCTTTTCCTTATATTTTAATTTTGCTTAATTTTCTGAATTTTTCTCCCCCTTTGGCTCTACTTCCCCACCCACTGATCCCCAAGTTTCATTTATTTGAAAAGCAGATCAATAGAGAGTGAGAGACCTTCTATTTACTGATTTGCTCCCCAGATGTCCACAAGAGTCAATGTGGGGCCAGCCGAAGGCCAGGGAATGCATTTGCGTCTCCCACGTGGGTGACGAGGACCCCAGCACTTGGCCATCACCCACTGACCTCCCAGGTGCAATAGCAGGAAGGCGGAGGTAGAAGGACTTGAACTCAAACCCACACTGCCATATGGGATGCGAGCAGCCCGTGCGTGCGGCTGCTCACCCCCGTTGCACCACGGAGCCCACCCCAGCTTACTTTATCCTACTTTGCTTTTAAACTTCTCATCTTTGTTGTCTTCAGTTCTAAGAGACATTACTCTGTGTGTATGTTTTTATTACATCCTGTTTGTAATTAGTAGATATAAATAACAAGCCTTTTCCTGTCTGAATATCTTAATGGCACATATTTTAAATCCTTCTGTTCTGTAGCTTGTTCCCCTCCCGTTGGACTCGTTACACTGGTTTTTATTCCTAGAGACTTTGTTAGGATGTCCTCCCCTCAGTGGAGTATGTGCTGTGGGAGTGGAGGCCCACAAGGACAGCGAGAGCCCTGAGTGGGTGTCAGGGACCTGTGGCTGTTGTTCAGCCCGCAGGCCTATGGGTGGGCTGTCTGTTGTAGACCGGCAAGTCCCCCAGAGGGTGCTCAGCCTGCTGGGATGATCCAGCTGCCAGCCATGTGAATGTATAATGGGGACAGAAGACTGATGGGCCCAGTGTCCACTTGTATGTGGCCACTTGAGTTAGTGAAGCACACACACTCCACTGTGCCAGCCAGCACCGAGGCTCTCCCATGTGTGGTTCTCAAGCACATCTCAAGGTGCTGCAGAGCAGCGGGGTGTGGGGCGTGGGACGTCAGCCTGGCTCCTGGGGCAGCACCACCCTGCCTTTGCGCAGAATTAAGTCTCCCTACGTGTGTCTTGAGCCCATGGAGGGCGCCGGGTGGGGACCTGGGGGGCTTGGCATTGGGCGATCCCACCTATGTGCCTCGAGAGTCTGATTGTCAGCTTGTCGCCTACTGTCCCCACCTTGTGGGTCCCTCTGGTGCGTTGATGTGATCAAATGCACCGTTGTAACCATGTCAGGCAGGGAGTCTGTTCAGTTCTTGTTTCTCTTTGCAGGGCAAAGGCATTTTATGGGTTCTAACGGTGATCAGAGAACAGCCCTGAACCCAGATAGCGGGTCTGTCAGGAGGTCTGGTGATCGGGCATCTATAACTCTGGGGCAGGGGTTTCATTTGCTACGCCCAAGGAGAGCAGCAGGATGGATTGCCAACAGGAAGCTGTGTTTTGTCAGTTCTGCTCCCTGTAACTCTATAAAAGGTGGTGGTTGGTACTGCTGGACCTGGCATTCAGGGGTCTCGAGGGGCTGGCCTGATCACTCCTGCCTACCCCCCGCTGCTGTTCTTGGCCCAGGACCAACTCTCTAGGCTACCTTGCCTTGGCCATGCCATGGAGTTCCAGAAATGCCCCGCTTTCTCGCATCATTGCTGCCCACCCAAGTGGGTGGTGCTTCCTCCATGACCAGGTGCACGCCTCTGCGCAACTCGGGGGATTTGCTGTGCTGCCGGGCCCTCAGTGAAGATTGTCTCGGCGCTGGGTCTTCCTGCCCTGTGCCTGGCCTGCCGCCTATGCTCTGTTTAATGGTGGATGAGTTCCTACTGCCAGGAACTTCAGGAGAGAACTCTGCTTTTTTGCAGGACATCCGGCATGAAGCCAGTGACTTCCCTTGTCGAGTGGCCAAACTTCCTAAGAACAAAAACCGCAACAGGTACAGAGATGTCAGCCCTTGTAAGTATCCACATGACCGCTCCCGTCTCACTCCCCCTCACTACTGGCCTCTGGGTCAGGGCCTGGTCCTAGCATGGCAGTGTGGGCAGCGGACTCCAGCCTGAGTGCTCCCTATCATAAAGGCGTTGGAGACTGGGCACATGTCCATCATGGTAATGGTCCAGTTCCAGTTTCTGGAAAATAGACTTCAAAGCACTTTTCAGCTTTGACTGTTTATGGGATGAATCCAGCACTAGCGGACACAGTGTGGCCTCTGCTGAGTAACTCAGCCAGGTGTGGTTGGTCCCAGCACTGTGGCCATGTGCGGTGACTCCCTACAGGATCTCAGGCAGGGCAGGTGGCAGGCTCTGCCAGAGTCTGCCCACCCACACCCCACTCCACCATGGCCCCTGTCTCCCTCTGTCCTGCCACTTTGGGTCTGTAGGGTCCAGGTGGCTGCCAGTTACCCTCCATCAGCCTTCTCTGCATCCCGAGTGATGGACAAACTGGTAGGGTTTCTGTAAAGCCAGAAAAACGGGGGCTGATCACAGGACTAGATGGGGCATCTCGTCTCGGCCACCGGGGCCTGGGGGACTCACTTGAGGCCCATCGGACACTGGGTGTCACTGAATGTCATGGCTGCCAGCTGCGCAGAAGATTCCAGGGTCAGATTCACTCCCTCGAGGCCCTTGCTCATGGCTCTGAGTGGTGGCTGTCACTGCCTGCTTCAGAAGAGACACAGTGTGTCTTGCTCACCTTGTAGGACACACAGGGGCCTTGGAGCTGGTGTGGAGCCTGTGCTTCTGGGACTACCCCACGGTTCCCGTGTGGATTTGCATCTAAGTGGCGCCTCCTCTCAGCTGTATGGCTTTGGGCAAATTATGCCTGTCAGTGATCTGCCATAAAGTAGGAGCCAGGGCTTTCTCTCCAGAAAGTGAAGATGAAGTGAATCAACCTAAGCCACTTAACCCTATGTCTCACTCAAACATAGCAAATACCTGTTAATTGCTGGCCATTGTAGAGACAGTTGTCAACCAGAGCACCTGAAGTGTACTTGGAAGTGGCCAGGTGACTCACAATTGCACCTGCTGCGTGCTTGACCTAGCATGTCCAGGCTGAGGCATTTGTTTCAAAAACAAAAATCTTGGAGAGCCAGCTGTGAAGTCCTGTCTGGAGACTGCTGGGCAGCTGATGGGACAGGACAGTTCCTGTATTCCTGAGAGCTTTTCACCTAAATGGTTTTGTGAACCCCACTAAAATGATGCTAAAATAATACACCAAAATAATGCTTTAAGGGGAACTGTTCCCAACTGTTCACCCCCAGTGCCATCCCAATAGTTTCCAGAAGAAAAGAGATTTCCTGTGGAGCCTATGTGACCTGCTGCCCACTTCCCTGCTTCCCTGGGATTCCGAGAGCAGCGCTCCCGAGGCACCTGGCTCACACTGAGCTGAGCTGGGCGCTCACATTTGCTTGTTCACTCATGCCCTCGCAGTATGCCCACTGGCTCAGTGAAAGTGCCCAAGCCCAGAGCACGTGTTGCTTGCCCAAGGTCACCCTGTACTGTTTGCACCATTCCCTCATAACCCACCAATGACAGTCACATGTGGCTTTTGAGATCCTTTATCTCTGTGGGCCACTTGAAAATCATCCAAGAATCTCGATTTGTATGAAGCCTCGACGGTGTGGAAACAGCTTTCCAGGGGGTGGCTAGTTTTTAAGACCCTTCTCTTGGAATCCTTCCTTGGGACCGACCGAATGTGTGAGTGCCCTCAGTGCTGGCAAGTCGTCCTATTTGCTTTCCTGTGTGAGGGGGCACTGCCTGTGTGGCCTGCTGTCCTCCGGGATTAACCTCTGGGTTCTGCTTGCCTTCCAGTTGACCACAGTCGGATTAAGCTGCATCAGGAGGATAATGACTATATCAATGCTAGCCTGATAAAAATGGAAGAAGCTCAAAGGAGTTACATCCTTACTCAGGTAAAGAGCTTGAACTTTGCTTAATGGTTTATAAATTGTCTGTTTATTTCATTTGAGAGGGGCAGGTAGCTCTGCCATCTGTTGATGGAAATGTATAGAGACAGGTCTGGGCAGAGGATCATTTCCAGTGCTGTTTTTGTTTTTAATTAATTAATTTACTTGAGAGGCACAAAGAGAGGGAGGGAGGGAGAGAGAGAGAGAGAGAGAGAGAGAGAGAGAAAGAGAGAGAGATCCATCTTTCATGTAGTGGTTCATTCCTCAAAAGGCTGCAAGGGCTGAAGCTGGGCCGGTCAGGAGCCAGGAGCCTCCTCTGGGTCTCCTACGCTGGTGCAGGAGTCCTGGGCCACATCCTCACCCAGGGACCCCAGGAGGAAGCTGCATCAGAAGTAGAGAAGCCAGGACTCAAACTGTTGCCCATATGCTGATGCCTATGGCGCCAGCATCACCCACAATGCCACAGCCCTGGCCCCTTAGTGCGGTTAACTAAGCAAATGTACAAATCCATACTCTGTAAAAAGAGAAACAGAAGAGTCTAGAATAGTGTTATGTCCCATGTTTCACCGTCCTGTGAGGCATCAGCCAAGTTGGATGTGTATTTAAGTCCGGTGATTTAAGTCCTGTTCTGTACCAGGGTGTGCTGACAGGTGGGGAAGGTGGTGCTGAGTGATGGAGCCTGGCCTGGGGGAGTTCTTTGGTGTCATGTGACATGTTAGTGGTTGCTTACTGCACTCCAGCTGCTGGCTAAGTTCTTGAGTTGGAGGAAGGCAGTTAATTCTCACAACCCTGCGAGTGGCTACTCAGACTAGTCAAGTGAGAGTAGAGGCGGCTGCAGTAGTGAAGTGACTGCACAAGGGCACGAGAGAAGTGACTGGCCTCCTGTCCTCACCTACACGCAACAGTTTGGTCCCATACTCCACCTGCCCTTGGGACAGGAGGTCTTGGTCAGCAAGGACAGAACAGTGGTTTCTGTCCCTGGCTGGCCTGAGATGTGAACACAGCTCTTCCATGTGCGGGGAAGAGCTGTGCGCTTGGCTCAGGCCCAAGAGTGCTGTTCCCGCTTCGGCCGCCCTCTGTCTGCACTGTGAGAAACCAAAGGATGAGCTCATTGCGAGTCTGCATAAATTGTATAAATTGTGTGTTTGCAGGGCCCCCTGCCTAACACATGTGGGCACTTCTGGGAGATGGTGTGGGAGCAGAAGAGCCGGGGCGTGGTCATGCTCAACCGCGTGATGGAGAAAGGCTCGGTGAGTGACAGGCAACGCATTGACATCCCTGTGGTGAATGTCAGGTGCTCCTGAAAGTGGCCGTGTTTCCTTCTGAATTTTGTTATACCCTTCTTAGTAAACGCATGTGGTCACAAGTCCGTGAAGCAAAGCAGAGGGGATTCAGGTCCAGCCATCTTGGCCTGTGCTGGCCGTGGCCATGCTCCCTGCAGCGAGTGTGTGTTCCAGTCCTGTCCCTGTCGCAGGGGGTGACCTCACCCTTCCAGCCCCCCAGGATGATCTTTCTCAGCCTTGGTTTCTCGGCTTCCCGCTGACAGCCCTTCTTGGCCCATAATTACACAACGTGGCAGACAGCACCCTGCCCAGCTGGCATGAGGCCCTTGGCCCATCTCCCACCCTCCAGACTCCAGCCAGGGCAAACGCTTCTTTCTTTTTCCATTTTCTGTCCTGTTCTCTGCGCAAGAGTCGGAATCACAGCGCCACCCTGAGCCCACATCCTCCGGCTGCTGCCCTGTGGTCAGCCAGCAGCCGAGCTCTCCCCCGCCACTCTCCTGCAGTTCCCACAGAGGGTAGGTCCCAGGAGACGAGCTGGCAGTCATGGAGAGCGGTAGGAATGTGTGGCCGGGAACTGGGTGTCCCTGGCGCTGGGCTCTGGGGAGTCGTTGTGACCGCCTTGGGACAGGCGTGGCTTTCCGGGAGCACCACGGGTTCCTATGAAAGCGCAGCCATGGCCTTCGACAGTACCAGGCAGAGCAGGCCACAGCAAAGCCACGTCAGCAGTGAGGATGGAATGCGAGCCTGTACAGGTCATGCCTCCTGCCTCCCGAGATGGACGACAGCACTCCAGGACAGCATGTGCTGTCAGCTTTGTTGCCTCTGGCACATTTTTTTGAAAATGAAAGTGTGAATTTTCCCAGAGCTTGGGTTGTGATCACTTGATGAAATAGCACCATTTTGTCTTAGAAAATATTTTGTTAGTGAGAGGGAATGCAAATTTTGATCTTGGTGCTTCTGGCTTGGCCTCTGCCTCCACCGCCCTTATCAGCAAGTTGGGACGAAGTCGCCGGACGCTAGCTTCCCGCACACACACTGGCTGTGTGCTAGGAAACTGCACTGCAGCCCATGCCTGTGGTGGGGGCTGGCCTCTGAGCTGTGGGGTGCTTGGCTGACAGCTGGCCAGCAGCACCCCACCCCAGCTGTGGCAGTCTGATACAGCCCGTGTTGGTCTCTGCACTTTGTCCAGTGTCCACTAGCGGGCAGTCGCCCCTGCTGAGAACCACTACTCCAGGGCTTTTAGGGGTTTTCACTCAAGACATTCTTTCAGAAACTGCTTGCTGTGGCTGCGTTGGCTTTTCATTTCCTTCCTTGCTTGTTGTTGAAAGATCCAGCAAAGCCCACAGTCGGCTTTAGCAACTGTTGTCACAGTACAGCAGGGAGCAGTGCCCAGCACTGGCACCGGGTGTCTGTCACCAGGTCCAGCTCTTGGTTGTGCCCTGCCTAAGGCTGCCCATCAATAGGCCTGAGGCCCACAGTGACAGCAGCCCCTCTGTGCCATTCTGCCCAGGCTCATGAACTCCCAAGGTGGGTGGGGGTATTCAGAGTCTCCCTGGGATCAGCAGTTACAGTTCTGTGTCAGCCCTGTCACTCCTGGAGGAGCCTCAGGGAAGCTGCAGGGTCTGATGGACTCAGGCTAATTCCACCCTGTGGGGCAGCCCTGGAACAGCCAGCTGGTCAAGAGCTTGCATTTTGTGCACACTTATTACCTGGTTCCCTGCCTTCACCCAAGAGTGCAAGGCACCCTCCTTGGCCCCCTTGCCCAGTCAACAGCCCCGTGCAGGGCCTTCTCTGATCTCTTCCCTGTAACCGTGGCAGGCACAGAGCAGCTGCCCCTTCCAGATGCCATGTACATCTGCAGCAGTTCCAGGCTTCTCTGACACTGCTGGGCACCATGAACTCCCGGCACATACAGGGCTGGCCCCGAAGCTGCCCCCCTCCCTCACCTTGGCCCCAGAGGAGGCATCCGAGGCTCAGTGCAGATAAACTTCAAGAGGCATTTGCCAAAGGGTTGGTGACACACCGAGAGCCACGTGACAGCTCTCTCAGCTCGCTGGGTGTATGGACATGCAGGCTCTCCCTGCCACCTGCTGCTCTGCCCACAGCAGTCAGTCATCTGTAAACAGACAGCTGAGCGAAGGAGGCCCCAAGCTGCACCTGTTTGCTTGCTTTTTCTTTTCTCTTTTTAAAAAGATTTATTTATTTTTATTGGAAAGACAGATATACAGAAAGGAGAGACAGAGAAAGATCTATCTGCTGGTTTATTCCCTAAGTGGCCACAATGGCCAGAGCTGAGCCGATCCAAAGCAGGAGCCAGGAGCCAGGGGCCTCTTCTGGATCTCCTACATGGGTGCATGGTCCCAAGGCCTTGGACCATCCTCTGCTGCTTTCCCAAGTCATAGCAGGGAACTAGATGGGAAGTGGAGCAGCCAGGACATGAACCAGCACCCATATGGGATCCTGGTGCATGCAAGGTGAAGATTAGCCACTAGGCTACCACACCAGAGCCCTGTTTGCTTTCTTAAACGCCAGATGAAGCCCAGTCTTTGCATGTGCTTGTCCAGTGGTTTCTGAAATCACCAAAACAGAGCACCCAGAGTCTTTTGCTGAACTGAACCAAATCCAATGGGAAAGGCGGCCCCCATCCGGGGACCCCTTCTCCCAGTCCCCACGCCCACTGGTGTCTGGTGCCTTTCCATAGGACCTTGAGTGGCTGACCATAGCTCTTGGCAGGGCGACGGCCCACAGCTCACAGTAACATGGTATCCTTCCTGCCCTAGTTGAAGTGCGCACAGTACTGGCCACAAAGAGAAGAGAAAGAAATGGTGTTTGATGACACGAATTTGAAGTTGACCTTGGTCTCTGAAGACATCAAGTCCTACTACACAGTACGACAGCTAGAATTGGAAAACCTTACGGTGAGTATGGCACGCACCCGAGTACTGGGAGCTGCCTCTCCCCCGCTGTGTTGGCCCCACACGCAGGGTCTCCACGTTTGGTGTGTCCTGCACAAGCCCTGGCATTGTGCCTGTGAAGGGGGCACGCAGGCTTGCCACAGAGCTCTGTCTCACCTGTGCTGCTCCTTGCCTGACAGTGGCCTTGCCCCACAGCAGGGCACGCCTCCACCTTGTGCTTCTGGGACTTGTCAAGAGCAAGTGAGGCCCCCCGCCGTGCGCTGGCATCGCAGCCCAGGCATTGCAGGTGGGATCCTGCCTTGGCCTGTAGCAGGAGGAGTTTGACCCCAGCCACTCACCATCCCTCCAACATGAGGGATGTGGTGAGGTACCTGCTAACAGCAGCACCAAAGGCCCTGCCCACGGGAGACCCTTGGGAGTCATGCCAGGCCTGGGACCCTGGCAGCACCTGGGAGGGCCATTTAACGTAGTGGTCAGCCCCAGGGTCACTTCTGGAACCACCTGCCTGGGCCGGGATGCTTGCCCTGCCTTCTCAGGCTGTCAGATTGGAGGGCTGGAGTACCACCTCTACATACTGTTTCCTGTTTTGCTTTTTAAAACTTGTTTCTTTGGAAGGCTGAGGCAGGGACAAAAGGAGAAACAGATCTTTGATCTTCTAGATGACCCCCACAGTGACCAGGGCTGGGCCAGGCCAGGAGCTCCAGCCACGTGTCCCAGGCAGGTGCAGAAGCCTAAGCACTTAAGCCATCTTCCGCTTTCCCAGGTGGATCGCAAGTGGAGCAGCCATGTCTCAACAGTATTCATAAGGATGCTAGTCTTGCAGACGGCAGCTTAGCCCTCCCCTCTTTCCTCTGTGTCAGATGGGGTTCAAGGGTTTCTGGGAGACTGAGGAAGAGTTGGCAGGTGGTGTGGAATGAAATAGCTTGGGATTCCAGAGGAGCACTCCAGTAGCAGCCTGGTGGGAAGACGGGACCATAGGGGCACAAGATGCAGGCTTTGGGCAGCCCAGGGCTAGGCCAGGCTGAAGCCAGGCTGAAGCCAGGAGCTCCCAAAGGAGACGCCCCTTGGGTGGCAGGGACCCAAGCACTTGGACCATCATCAGCTGCCATCCCAGGCACACGAGCAGGAAGCTGGATCGGCAGTGAGCAGCCAGGGCTTGAACTGGTGCTCAGTTGGGATACCAACATCAGTGGCTACAGCTTAGCCACTGCGCTGCAGCTCAGCCACGGGCAGTCGGGGGGTTGCCCTGCTCCAGCATTGTTCTCAGTCTGTTCTCTGCCCTGGGGAGGGCTGGTGCCGGGGAGCCCACCCCTTAGCAGGGATCAACAGAAAACACTGTTGACATGTTGTCTCTTTGCTCCTTTTTTTTTTTAAAAAAAGATTTATTATTATTATTATTATTATTATTATTATTATTATTGGAAAGACAGATATACAGAGAGAGAAAAATCTTCTGTCCGCTGGTTCACTTCCCAAGCGGCTGCAATGGCCAAAGCTGAGCCAATCCAAAGCCAGGAGCCAGGAGCTTCTTCTGGGTCTCCCACGTGGGTGCAGGGTCCCAAGGCTTTGGGCCATCTTCTACTGCTTTCCCAGGCCACAGGCAGGGAGAAAAAGCAGCTGGGGTATGAACCAGCATGCATATGCGATCCTGGCACATGTAAGGCGAGGACTTTAGTCACTAGGGTATCATGCCAGACCCCCTGGCTCCTGTTTTAAAATGAACTTTAAATGCTTTCCTTCTTCCTCCCACTTGTGTTTCTCTTTAATTCTATTACCAAAGAGGGTAGAGTTGCTTAGGATGACTCCACAATGAGCTGCAGGCCTGCGAGTTCTCCCCGGCTGGTGGCAAGACCCCGGGCGATGCTGGAGCAAGGAAGGCAGGTCTTGTTCATGGTGTGTTTTCATTGGCTTACAGGAGGCTAGGACAATGACACTGTGAGCCTTTGGAGGGCACAGCGTTTCCTGTGGCCTCACCGTGCCTGGCACCCCTGGCTGGTATAGATTGGTGCTTGCTTGGCTTCAGCCAGAAAAGAGTCCCAGTTTGAAGTAGCTTTGCTGTCGGCTCTCCAGGTGATATAGGCCCTGGCCTGGCCCCTGGCGTCAGTGGCAGGGAGAATGTCAGGGCTGGCGTGGTGGTCTGTGTTGAGGTCCTGCTTACCACATGGCTCAGGGTAGCCAGAGACCCCAGAGCTGCAAATAGCACAGGGACCCTCCAGCCCCACGGGACACACCCCAGGGCAGGGCCCCTCCTGGTGGGACAGCCTGCAGCAGGCTCTGCCCCTGCCAACCTCAGTGCTCCCAGGCCGTGTGTGGCCTTGGCGCAGCCTGCACGTGGCCACCCTCGCCGTCTGGGGCTGCTGGTCCTGCCCCCTGCCATCCATCTCCGCCTCCTTCCTTGGTCATCTCCTGAGTTGCTGCTGAACCTTGCGTGGCAGCCACTGGACTGACTGAGCCGCCTGCATTTTCCCTGAGGTGAGGTGACACAGTGTCCCTGAAACCTCCAACTTGTCTCCTAAGGCTCCCCCCACTGGCACCCCAATAAGCTCCTCTGCCCTACACAGGCCCTGCCCACCTGTACGTGAGGCAGCATGGCATCATGTGACTTGAGAGCAGCTGTAACCCTGCGGACAAACGTTGGACATAGTGGGACATGGGAGCAGAAAGTCGCCGTGTGGTCTGGGGTTGGACAGTGTAGTTCCAAACACCTGAGACCCTGGAAATCCTCACAAATGTTCCTTCTCTTTCAGACTCAGGAAACACGAGAGATCTTGCATTTCCACTATACCACGTGGCCTGACTTTGGAGTCCCCGAATCACCAGCCTCCTTCTTGAACTTTCTTTTCAAAGTCCGAGAGTCTGGCTCACTCAACCCGGAGCATGGCCCCGTGGTGGTGCACTGCAGCGCCGGCATCGGCAGGTCGGGAACCTTCTGCCTGGCCGACACCTGCCTCTTGCTGGTACGGAGCCTGGCAGGTGCCCGGGAGGAGAAGGAAGCACATGGGAAACCCTGGCCTGGCACCTCCTCCCTTTGACCCACATGACTCCCAGTTTCTCCCCTTGGAGTGTCATTGGCTCCAGCTGTACAGCCCTGACTGATCACAAACAAGCTCCCCTCTCCTCGGCCATAGCTCTCGCACCCCTGTGTCCAGGGGCTAACCTGCGGCACATTCTGGCACGTTCTGGACCCATCTGGGGTTCCCCTGCCCCAGAATGGCCACTCTGATGGCACCAGAGGCTTGGGCGCCAGCAGAGCTTGTGTCTTTGGCTTTCAGATGGACAAAAGGAAAGACCCCTCATCTGTGGACATCAAGAAGGTGCTGCTGGAGATGAGAAAGTTCCGGATGGGGCTGATCCAGACAGCTGATCAGCTGCGCTTCTCCTACCTGGCCGTCATTGAAGGGGCCAAGTTCATCCTGGGAGACGCTTCGGTGCAGGTTAGTTCACCCTGGGAGACGCCTCGGGGCAGGTCAGCACTGCCTCTGCCCAGCGGGCCCCAGGCAGATGCTGACGGGACCCCTCTGCCACCTCCAGCATCAGTGGAAGGAGCTCTCCCATGAGGACCTTGAGCCCCCGCCAGAGCACACACCGCCCCCTCCCCGGCCTCCCAAGCGGATCCTGGAGCCCCACAACGGCAAGTGCAAGGAGTTCTTCCCCAACCACCAGTGGGTGAAGGATGCGGCCGGGGAGAGCACTGACAGCCCGGCCAAGGAGGACAGCAGAACCTCCCTGAGCGCCCCCTACAGCTTGGAAAGGTAATACGGGTTCCTGGCTGCTGGGCATAGGGCTCCCAGCCCCAGGCTGCCTGCTGCAGCCCTAGGCACTGCGTGGATGCAAGGTGGCCCTGGGAGGGACTGACTTCAGTGGGACTCTAGCTCCACCTAGTGGTGCTCCTTGGACTTGGTGGTGACAGTGCACATCCTCAGGTGGGCTTGGCTCTGTGTCCAGACTAGACCACACAGTTTAATCCCCACAGCACCCCTTGGGGAAACAACCTTGTCGTGTAATTGTGTGGCCTTGATGATGTTCTTGACCTGTGTTCGTGAGGCTGCACTACCAGCAATGAGCTGTTGAGGACTGTGGAGCTCCGAGCCGCTGGAACACAGCTTTTGGCCTGTGTGCTAAGCCATCCCATGGGAAAGGGCCCACCCACAGTACATTGTGGCAGGAGCTGTGGGCAGTGATGAGACAGATGTGCCTGTAGAGATGACCAGCACAGGCTGCCTGCAAGCCACGGCACACATGGAAGCACGGAGAATGAGTAGGAATTAGCCTGAGCCCGACACTGCTGGGGAAGGTGCTCTGGGCCTCGAAGGGGTGTCCAGATGTGGGTGCCTGCTGAAAGTTTAACCTGCAGTGATGCTCCACCAAGCATGCAGGGCGTTGCTGGTGACAGATATGTGGGGTGCCAGTGCCAGGCCGGGGTGAGATGCTCAGGGCATCCCCCTGGAGTCGGGGAGCACTGCAGCTGTGCACAGCCTGTGGCCCCTCCAATGACCGCAGGTATCACCCCTGCTCCTGGGGCTGACGAGTGGCCTTGAGACTGGTGTCAGCATAGGCCTGGCTCTGCTCTCATTCTGCACATGTGGCTCTGTGCTAACAGCATCTTGGCCAGCCCCATCCCATACCCCCATGAGTAACCCATCTCTGCCCTTCTGATCCCCCAGCACGAGTCAAGACACTGAAGTTAGAAGGCGAGTCATGGGGAGCAGTATGCGAGGCCCCCAGGCTGTATCCCCCGCCCCGGAGGAGCCGTCGTCATCCATGGAGGAAGAGGGCTCCCACGCACTGACTCCCTGGAAGCCCTTCTTGGTCAACATGTGCATGGCCACGGTCCTCACAGCCGGCGCCTACCTCTGCTACAGGGTGTGCTTCCACTGACGGCTCGCTGCGGGACGCGCACAGGCGAGCGTGGCCTCCGCCGGCCCCGCAACAGGATTGGGCTCTGCGGAGCCCTGGAGCCCGCCTGGGAAGCAGCACCCAGAGCCGGCTGTCTGGACCACGGCAGGGTGGATGCGCTGGGTGGCGAGGAGCCCTCTGGTCCCAGGAACATAAGAGTCTATCTCAGGGCCTTCAACTATTCAGGAGTAAGTAGAGAAATGCCAAATACGTCGCACGCCCATTCTCTCTCTCTCTCTCTGCTCGGTTGTTTTGGGGAAAAGTTGAATTACAACACATTGTTGTTTTTAACCTTTATAAGCAGCAGCTTTTTGTTATTTCTGGAGGAGAAAAGAAAAAAAAAAAAAAAAACAAGCCAAACAGGCACTTAGGAACCTCTTGTTACATAGCTTGCATTTGGTTTCCCAGGGGAGGATCTCAAACTTGGACTTGAGGCAGAAGGCTGGGAGGTGGGTGGTGGGTGCCCACCTCCCGCCGTGAGCAGAAGTGGTAACAGTCTGCAGCAGGCAAGGCTGGCTCCTGCCTCGCTAAGGCGTCCCCACAGGCTGGCCTCCTTGGGACAGTCATCTTGCTTGGGTGCCAGGCCTCATCATCGTGTCTCCACAGAGGGGTTTTCTTGAGGCTCCTGCCTCAGGGTCAGGGCTGCGCCCAAGCTGAGCTCAGCCTTCCCAGGCAGCCAGGGCTCCCCGGGCAGTGTGCCAGCTGCAGGCCGGGCAGCAGCAGCCTAGAGCCTCTGGTCCTGACCCGGCCTCACCAGCCACCTCCCTCTCATACCTGCTTCCCCTCTGTCTAGGCGGCCTGGCAGTGCAGCGACGGTTTACTGAAAGCAGTTTCCCCCATTGTGGGTGATTTTTGGGGTGAGAGGGCACACCTGTACTGGTGGTGTGCGTGAGTGGGTCAGCTCTGCGGGCCAGGACTCGGCCCACCATGCTTGGCTTCAATATGATTCCTGCGCCAACTCCTAGCCTCCCCTCTGCCCGCTCCCCCAGGCCTGCCAAGGCAGGTGTGGAGTGCCGGCCAGGCCAGGAGGTGCTGCAGATGGCTGCTTGGGCTGCACCACAGCCACCCTCCCAGACCCCAAGCCTCTCCTCCTTGGCTTCTCTTGCCCCTGAGCCCACAGCCCAGTCCGTGAGGAGCACAGTGCAAGTCGGGGCTGCCCCATCCCGTGAGTCTCGAGGATGGCATGGGGCCCTCTGCGTGTGTGACTGTCCCTGCTACATGAGCAACTTAAACCAACAATGTCTTCAAACGGCTTGTTGTTAGCCTTGCATCCAGGGCTTGATCACCAAGCACGGTGATGCCTCAGGTCATCCTGGGAGCAAGGCTGCTGTGGTGGCTCAGGACCGGCCGGGAGGGTACGCACCCAGCAGAGACCCCGGCTAGACTGTAGCCGACTCTGGGCTGTTTAATGACGTGAGAGGGCTGGGTCTGAGCTGGTCTCCCTCCACTCCGTCCCGCCCCATGACCTGCTGGACCCTGGCTGTCACCCCCCTCCGTGTATGAAAATGCATGGACGCTCTCTGTCCTGACGAAAAGCCCATGTGCTTGAACTCAGATTTCTGCTTACTAACATGTCCCGGGGGAGTTCAGGCCTCATCCTGCTCCGATCCCCACAAGGCTGTGGCAGCCCGGGCCACTAGGCTAGAGGGGCTGAAGCTTTCCAGTTCCTGAGCTGCCCGGTTGCTAGCCTGGCACTCGGCCTGCCCCAGTCCAACTGGGGCCTGCCCCAGTCCAACTGGGGCCTGCCATTACTCAGACATTCCAAGAGTATGGGAAGCCATGGTCGAGCCTCAGGCTCCGCTCAGTGACCCCTCGGGGTCAGCCTCCACTACTCCACCTTCACACTGTGCCTGAGCAAGCCACGGCTTAGAGCAGGGTGATGCCAGGAGCCACACCTCTCAAAACCACCTGGGGGCAGCAGCCCCTTTGCCTGCAGCCATTGCACCCCTGAACCCTGTGGGGACCAATGGTGCTCACGACTTCCTGGAAGGGAACGGCAGACCTCTCCCAGCTGGTAGCTTTTCCATAAAAAAGGCACCTCTGGCTGCCGAGCCACCCCTTCGCCAGCATTTTCACATTTTGCCTTTCACAGGTGGGAGCTCAACCAGAAAGTTTCAGGTGGGTGCACAGGGTGCCCCCCTGTGGAGCCGTGGCAAGGCGTGGGCAGGGCTCGGGCACCAGACTGTGAGGGCTGTGGAGTCGGGCTTATTGTGTTCCGGACTCCTGTACCCGTATGTAGTAGTCTCGGGGTGTATATACAGTAGCATTTCAAAACGGACATGGCGGTGCGGCCCCTGTCCAGGAGAGCCGGTGGCAGTGTGTGTTGTCACACGCGTGTTAGGGAGGTAGCGAGCTGCTCTGCTGTATGCCTTAAGCCAATATTTACTCGTTGGGTCATTCTTTTTCTATGGTGGCCGTGGAAGAAACCGTTTGTACAAAATAAAGAGAGAAAAACGGCGAAGCGTTTCAGGCGTGTGTGGGGGTGCATGGCTGCGGGTGGGGTGGGCATGCCTCAGGGTCTTGGGTGACCTCACAAAGCTGTCAGAGTGTGCGGTTTCCTGGCGGGCCATATAAACAATGGTTTGCATTTTAGTTGCAAAAATAGTGTTTCTAACGAATACGTTCTGGGGTGCTGAGCAGCTCTGCCAGAGCAGGCCAGGGGTCACCTGTCAGGTGAGCTGGCATCTTCATGCAGAAGGGGCCGGCAGAATGTGCCCTAATGCTGCCAGCCTCCACATGCCTCCTTTGCGGAGCACCACCCTCGGGGCACATGGGAATCTGGGACGGTGGACTCCACCAGGCCCAGATGTAGAGGTGAGCTAGAAGGACCCAGCACGACACCCCTCCTGTGCCAAGGGCAACAGCAGAGCCCTCCCGAGCAAGCACTTGGTTCTGCAGCAGTTTCAGACCTGCCTGCCCAGCACCATAAGTTCCCTTCTATCCTTCAGGGTTGCCTGGCAGATCCAGAGCTGACAGTGGGGTGAGTGGTCCATGCCGTGGCTGTGGCCAGGAAGATAAATTCAGACACTGCCACACCTGGGGACCAGGACATGAGCAAGCTGTGGTCCTGCAGCTGCACCAAGCTACCTACCCTCCCCCACCACACACACACCGTGCTTAAGCTGTAAAAAATGTGAAATGTGTCACTTTGGAACCAAGTCAGGTGGAGCACAGGGCCGGGCAGAGTCTTTTGTGCATCCCCCAGCAGGGACTGGGACAGATGCCCCCAACTGGTGACTCGGTGGAGCATCAGTGACCACTCGGGGTCAGCGGAGCAGCCATCACCACAACTTTCATTGCAGTTTCAGAAAGTGGAACATGCACCAGACAAATAAATACGGAGCAAAACCAAAACAGCAAACACCCACCAACTACACAGGAAAGTAGCAGGACAGCACTGCCCGCCTCGTCTCTGTGCTTCCACACACGCACCTCAGGACTCGTAATCTCGTTCTTGAGTGGACTGCAGAGCGGCCTCCTTTCCCATCACCGATCTGGCCTGGCTTGATTTTGTCCCAGAGCCAGATTCCTCTTTGATTCCTTTTTGAGACATGTGGCCACAGCGAAGGGCGTCCCGGCCCCAGCGGCTGGCTTTGTGCTGTCAGACACGGTGGCCCATGGCCAGCCGGCCAGGGTGCAGCTCAGGCTGCAGAAATAGCGTCAAGCCCTTCCATCTGCCAGGGTGAAGCGACGGGAGCCACCCAGTGGGCCCAGACTGGGCCAGCACACAGGGAGCCTCATGTTCCTCCCACGCACTCGCAGCTTCTGACTCGGGGCCTCCACCTGCTGGCGCTGGGACAGTCAGCTTCACAGGACCAGCCAGAGGCTGGGCTCTCACTGAAGGCCAGGCAGTCCCACTTGTCCTACCTCTGCAGGTGCTCAGCTGCAGCCTGGGTCTGCAGCTTCAGGTGACAGGGCTGGACTACACACACACGCGCGCGCAATTCTAAGAGGACCTTCATGAGCTGGGACTTTTAAAATATAGTGATTTCAACCTCGTCGTCCTGGCAGGAGACTTCTGGGTCTGCACTAAGTCGGTCCATCTTCTCAAAAGCCAGGCGTCCCTTCTCACCTGCAACAGTGAGGCCACGTGTCAGTGGGTACTTCCTGCTGTGGTGAGCCCGGGTAGCCTCTGCTGGCCACCTTGGCATGCATCTGCCTGGTGACCCTCAAGGCCTGAGACCCTCCCCTGCACAGTGAAGTGTCCCCTCGCCTTGTTCTGAAGGGATGATAAGGAGGGAAGCCTGCCTCGGCCAGGATGTTGGCAAACATGACTGCTAGCACTGCAGCAGGCTCACAGGCAGGACCCCGGGCACTGTCCTGTCTCCTGCCCAGGCTGGGTCTGGCGCCTCTAACATCTAGGGCCCCGACAGCCCTGCTACCCTCACCAACATGTGTTGCACCACTTTACCGAATGACAGCGTGGCTTCTTGAGCTGCTGTGCGCACAGCCTCCACGTCAGACTGGCACAGGCGGGCAATGTCATCAATGCTCTCGATACCCTGTTGGAAACGGGAGGAAAAGAGCTCCCTTAGGGAGCTTTCTGAATGGCAAGTGATGTCCACTTTGATCAGCCCTGGTGGCACTGCGGTTCCCTTTCCCTTTTTCTTGAAGCTTCCAGGTGCAGCCTCTTACTTCATCAAACAGCCAGGGAGGAAGCTCCTGTTGACAAACCCAACACCTGCCCACGAGCCAGGCCATGAGCAGAGCTGGTGCTTAGGAATGCCTGCTGAAGGCCCAGATTGGAAGAGACCCTTCTGTTCCTGGACCTCCCTCCCTCCTTCCCCAGCCCCCCGCGTCCTGACCCTGCACTCCAGAGCAGGATGTGCCAGGGTCCTACTCGGGCAGCTTGTCCTCAGGACCCTGGACCATGTGTGCTGCAGTGCCCTCTGCTGGGCTCCCCACTCAAGCCAAGAATGGGGTTGGAGGTCTGTTGGTTCATCCAAGAATGGATAAAGGAATGAATGGCTCATCGGGGCTGGGCACACTGACCCACATGAACAACATGAGGTGGGCACCCCTCATTTCTGGGCATGCAGCGCATGGGGGTGTCAGGAGCTGACTGGAGCCGCACGAGTGAGAACTCTGACCTCATATGTGTTCCCATGCCCAGAAGTGCTCTTGGTGATGTGAAGGTTTCTTAAAAACTGAGCTGACAGCAGAGTATGGCCACAGGCCCTGCATCCATGTGGCAGACCTGGAAGAAGTTCCTGGCTCCTGGATTTAGCCCCATTCCAGCCATTATAGCCAACAGCGGAGTGAACCAGTGGATGGAAGACCTCTGTCTCTCCCTTCTCTCTCTGTAAACCTGTCTTTCAGTGTAAAGTATTACAAAAAGAAAGAATCCTGGTTCCTGGCCCAGTCTTGGCTGTTGAAGGCCTGCCTGTCAGAAGTGAGCCAGCAGTTAGAAGGTCTCTACTTTTCAAATTAAATTTAACTTGAATTTTTGTTTTAAAATGGAGTGGAAATGCATGGGTTTTTCTTAACATGCATTTTTCATCAGCTTGAAGATGCCTCAGAATTCAGGAGCTCTGAAGTGGCTCCCTGAGGCCACCCACCTTTCACCCAGAGCTGAATACTACTGGGGGCTCCCTGCCATCAGATCCACTCCTCTGAAAGCACCTGTTAGGGGCCTTACAGCTATGTCATTTTTCTCATGCTCCATCCACTGGTTCACTCCCCATAGACTCCAGACAACAGCTGGGGCTGGGCCAGGCTGAAGCCAGGAGCTAGGAACTCCATCCAGGTCTGTCATGTAGGTAGCAGAGGTCCACTGGAGCCATCATCTGTTGTTTTCCTGGGCACATTAGCAAGGAGCTGGGCTGGAGGAAGAGCAGCTGGGACTTGAACCAATGCTCACATGGGTTATGGGTGTCCCAAGTGGCAATCTAACCTGCTGCACCACAATACAGACCCCAAGAGGTGGTAATTACCACCACCCCCCTTTTTTCTTGGTCTAGGTGGAATCCTATAGAGCAGTGTTGGCATCAGCCACAGTGGCTGGCTCCCACGTTGGTCATTGGCCAGGGCTCATGGACTCACCCGGAGCTGTTGGAGTGCCACACACGCAGCCTGCTGCAGCTTGGCATCACTCTCAGCCAGGGTGTGGGTGTAGAAGATCAGAGCCTGGGGACGAGGAGACCCCGTGTGGGGAATGGGCAGGGGCAGAAGTTGCTGTTCCGCTGTGCCCTTGAGCTGACAGGAAGTTGAACTCTTCCCACTTTCCCAGTGCAACTCAGCACCCAGGCCTGTTGGCCTTGAGCAGGTGACCCCAGTCACGAGATGGACTGCAGAGGACCCTGAGTGCAGGGCAGTAGGAAGATGGGGGACGTTCTTTGGTGCCCGCTGTTTGAGAATGCCCCCGTAGCACGCCTCCCACCCTGAGTCCTGCGCCTTGGGCGTGTAGCAGTCACACCCAGGAAGACCCAGCAGAGTGTGGCTTCAGGAACACTGCAATGAGGGGGTGACAGTCACACAGGTCCTTTGTGGCCTGGTGGTCCCTGCTCAAAAAAAAAAATGCTCCTACCTTCTCCCGGAAGCTTGCATTGCGGGCTGCGCCAGCCAGGCGTACCCTGGCCGCCCTGCACACCCGCGGGGACCCGTCCAGCTGGAGCAGCGCCCAGGCACGCAGGGTCTGGGGCAGGGGCTGGAGCTGGCCCAGCCGCTTCCCCTGAAGCTTCTTGATGGCCTTGAGCTGTGCAGAGCTGTGCAGCTCCTCGATGAGTTTGACTAGGAAGCGGGAGTGGGAGAGACGTGAGCCCAAGCCACAGAGAAGCAAACCCTGGAGTGAGCGAAGGATCAGTGTGGACAGTCTTAGAGGGATCAAGCATGAACGTTCAGCCCAGCTCAGGCCACTCTGCTCCTCAGAGCCACCTGCCCTGCAAGCTGATCTACACGTGAGAGCTTGTTAAATCTGGGTTCCCGAAGAACAGCAGGAGGGGAAGCAGAGAGCCCGGCCGGGACTGTGGCCCCTACCTTCCTTGGCCAGCTGGGCCAAGTGCTCCTCCAGGTCCCTCACACCGTGCCTCTGCAGGTAGCCGAGGAACTGGAACCAGGTGAGCGTCTCTTCCTCCAAGAGCCCGGGCCCCCGGAGCAGCCCACTACAGCTGACCACCTGCTCCAGAAGCTGGTGGCACACTAGCCACACGGGGGCAGCAGTGAGCCTCTAAGTGCCCCTGGGCCAGTTCCTAACCACCTCCCCCCAGGGAGCCCCTGGAGCTGGTGCCTGCTGGCCCTGACTCCTGCCACCAACCCAACCCAGGTGGTGGGTAGCGGGGAGGGACAAGGTGCTGAAGTTAAGGCCACCGTGCAGTGCACCTGTGGCCCTGCACTTGCTCAACAGAGCAAATGGCCAGATGCATGTAGCCAGCCTCATAAGGCACCCTCCTGTGTCCCTGCCTGTCGCTTTAAGGTTCTGGCTGAAGGCATGGGGTTTGGCCCTAGCCCACAGACAATTG